GTGAGCGTCTGTGTGAAAGAGTACTGATGGGTAAATGAAATAGATGAAGAGAGAATGAAGGTCACTGTATTATGTCGTAATGCATCTGCGAGATGTAGAGCTCCTTTTTCTTCTACTTCATTGTATGCAAGATATAGTGCGGTGAACGCCTATATGGAAAAGAGGAGATGAATAAATGAGAGCGATGAAGAGAGAATGGGGATCACCGTGTTATTTCGTAATGCATCTGCGAGATATTTGGCTCCTTCATCTCTGATTTGATTGCCTATGAGAAAGCCACCGAGCTTGAGTATGGTGAGTGTCTATATGAAACAATACCGATGGGTAAATGAGGCAGATGAAAAGAGAATGCAGGCCACCGTGTTATTTCGTAGAGCATCAGCAAGGTATTGTGCTCCTTCGTCTCGAATGTGATTGTATTCGAGATGTAGTGTAGTGAGTGTCTGTGTGAAGAAGTGCCCATGGTTGAATAAAACGCATGATGAGAGAATGATGCTTACTGTGTTAATTTGCAATGTATCACTGAAATCTTTAGCTCCTTTGTCTCCAATTGGATTCCCAGAGAAATGTAGTGTGATGAGTGTCTATATGACAAAGTACAGATAGGTAAATGTGAGAGATGAAGAAAAAATGAGAGTCACCCTGTTGATTCGTAAAGCATCAGCAAGATGTTGTGCTTCTTTGTCCCCGATTCGATTGCAGTAGAGATATAGTGTGGTGAGTGTCTGTATAAAAAATACCGATGGATAAATGAGACTGTTGAAGCAAGAGTGTGGGTCACCGTGTTATTTCGTAAGGAATCGGCGTGATGTTGTGCGCCTTTGTCTTCGATTCGATTGATTCGGGGATCTAATGTGGTAATTGTCTGTGTGAAAAAGTGTCGAAGGGTAAATAAGAGAGAATAAGGGTCGCTGCGTATTGCGTAATAAATTTGATACAGGGTGTCTCATAAGTTGTGGCAGATTTTTTTAAATCTAATTTTTGATGATAATGAATACAAATCAAACTCAAACTTACACGTATCATACAACTTAACATGTACTTTTATTTCATATATTTTATTTGAATTTAATCATTGGATATACAAAAAAATAAAGAAATTGGTACATGTGCAAAATAAGCACACCATCAATGTGTTACAATATATATACCCCGACAAAAGTTTCACTCTGTATTTCTCATATATTGTCACTATAAAAATAAGTTATTTTAAAATTAATTACATATTCTGAAAGCTCGCGGAGTTTTCTATCATTCTGTAGAATTAGGTTTTAGTTTTGACCTTTTCATTACCAAAATAAATTGAAGACAACGAAGGCACCCTCATGTCCAGATTCCCAGACTTGATCTTTCCTTCGTCATCAAAACTAGTTTTAAAAATTTTTCATCCGTATAGAATGATCTGTATGAAAAAGTAACTATAGATTCTGATAGAGCTTAAAATTCTCTATCACCCTGTCTATTTACTTATTTTTTTGCGTTTATAGATTGAAATAAAATTGAATACAATGAATATACTCCGAATCGACTAGCCCAAAAAATTTGCATTTTTTTTCGCTACTTAAATTTAAGACACTGTATTAATACATAATATCATAGAGCATTTCAAGTGCTATCAGAATGTGTGATTTCTTTTGTAAAAACTTACTCCCATAGGAATAGTAATTGGAGAAAAAACTAACAAAGTAGCGAAAAAATGCAGACTTTTGATATTTGTCAATGGAGGGTATGTTCATTGAATTTGTTTATTTTCTTGTATATTCAATGATCTAATCCAAATAAAATATATGAAATAAAAGTACATGCTAAGCCGTGTCATATGTATAAGTTTGAGTTTAATTTGTATTCATTATCATCAAAAATTAGATTTAAAAAAATCTGCCACAACTTATGAGACACCCTGTAGTATGAATAATTTTTTTGTTTAGTTTTTGATTGGTTTTGACAGACGTGTCCTGCATATGGCATCCTCTCTCTAATGTATTATCTGATCGATTGTCGAATGCTCATACAGAAAAGGAAAAAGGAGGAATGGAGGCTTTATGGTTAAAGAATCTTTAAGCCCTTATACACCGCAGTGCTTCAGAGTTTTTGATTGATCACAGAATGAACAAGAAAGTGCGGAGCAGGACGACAAAGTTCATCATAATCAGACACTCGGGAGCGCTAAAGTGTAACAGTACACTTAAAAAGAATGTCTATTCGCCTGTAGAAGGATGACATGATGTTAGTTTGTGTTGCATGTGTTGCGTTGAATGTAATATTCCATGGTGCAAAATAGGTTTGTATTATGTACAATATTCATAAGCCTACAAATGCTGTTTCATAATAATTGCGGATAAATTGTCGACGACAGTTTTCAATAGCTCTTCTTGATAGATTAGGCTCTAAATTTTTATCACATCTGGTGTGTTTCTTACGTTCTGAGGTCCGACAGAATTAGTTTTTATACAAACAAAAATATTCGATGACCAAATATTTTTAGGTGAATCTTGAGCACTTGCGTTATGTTACTTTTCTAAATGATATATTATTGGATAATAGTTTCTCTTGTAATGCTAAAAATATAAACATGAGAATGTGACGAGAAACTTGTTCAAGTTGATCAACAACATGCTTAATTAAAAAAAAGAAGAGCGTTGTATTTTATGGATGCATAAACATATCTATTTACACGAAAATGTTAGTTAATTAAGACATATTTGTTCATCACCACTTTTTTTAATTCGCGAAGTCTCGTTGGACTTTTGCCAGTCATTACAATTTTTTTCCTTCATTGTTGAAATTGGGTCTTAAGTGCTTATCTTTTGAAATGGTGCTCGTCAAACTCGTTCTTTTTAATATTCCCTATACACTTTTAGCGGGCCATAACTCAGTAAATTTAACAATAACTTCTCGCAGTAAAATTCGATTACTAAATAATTCACTCGTAGTCCAAAATACAAACGAAGTTTATATATAGCTATCTTTTTCCATGAAAAGTCTTTGGAAAATCCACGTTGACCGATTACGAAGAAGTCATCCTCACATATTCATGTTTGTATTTTCAGTATTACAGGAGATAGCTTTATTCCATGGTATGTCATTTGAAAGAATGACACCAATACTCAAGACTCATATATCAACATTGGGTTCCAAGTTACTCTCAGTCTAACTATAAGCAAATTTCGTCGCGCTCCAAGGTTGATGAAACAGTCTGTATATATATGCTTGAAGTATCATTTAAACCTTTGTTCTCGGATTCGTAATACCCGAACTTTGAAGAGTTATTTTTTTAACATCCATTTTCTGTTGCCTTTTTTGTTTTTAAAAAAGCAAAATCACCTTCGAATATGTATGAATAAATCAAATACAAAACAGTGTCTAGAAAAAGAGGAGATGGCTGAAGCCTAGTTTTTTCCGTGATACATTTGTGATGATGATCGAGACAAACAAGTTTTTGATTCTATATGCATATCGTAAATTTTCGAAAGCATTTGTATAGAAAAGGTAAGAGATGGAAACCACATTGAATCTACGAATAGTTTGATTCGATTCGACTCAACGAAATTGAATAAGATGGAAATGCATTTATTCAGTTGGTTTCGCAAATTAGAAGTCCATGAAAAAAAAACGGAAGATGTACAAATATATGCAATCGCATTTTGACCAGTACAAGTGAAATAATGAATATGTTTACTGTAAAACTAAAATAAAATAAATTACCCGATTCTTATCTCCAAGTATTTTACCAAACGACAGCTCTTAGTGTAAGAGGTTGAGATGGAAAAAATAAAAAAAAGAAACGAAAATAGTTCGATATGACAAATAGCGGAGAAATGTATTATCAAATAACTCAGATATACATTAAGACAAGTTCTGATACAAATAAATATTAATTTTTAATGCTATAATTAAATAAGCGAACCAACTCATGTTTCTAATAATCTGGATATGGCTTAGTAATTTTTGTCGCTGATTTCTTTTACATGTATTGAACCTTTTTTTAGTGAAACAAACTATTATAATTTTATGATAAAGTTTTTTGGTTAATTTTGGTAACAACCAATTTTCTCTCGTCCAATGTGAATAGATTCTTTTCGGTGATGACATACTGATGTTTAAATTTTGATTTATATCTTTTTTCTTGGAATCCTTAATAGCGAACATTTATATGAAATTTTATTGAATGAAATCTATTATCTCTTGTAATTTTTGTTTTTACAGAAACAAAATGATTGTTGAATATGTGCAAATAAAGGAAATATTGATAACGATCTTTACTAATCTATGTACTCTGAAAAATGTCATTTTTCTAGTGACCTTTTGATATATGGCAGTTCAGAAAGTTTCTTTAATGGAGTGAATACATTAAAAATAGCTCAAAATGGATGGCATGAAGGTGATTATTGCTAATAGTGATTAGCAAATGAATGAGACGATTAGTGAATGATTTCTTATAGAAACCAAACCATCAAATTTAAGGAACTGATAACTGACTTCTTGAATCTCTCTTAAAAACAGTAAGTCACACATTCATGTAAATCATTTTCTTTTATTAACATACAATTATTACAACCAGAGAACAGTTAGGTTTGTATGCCATGAATTTACCTTTTTTGAACTTAGTGATCATAACTGAAGCATCTATCTCACGAGAAATCATCTATCATAAAATAATATTTTAGACTTCATGCAAGACTAAACAATACACGGCTTCATGATGTTTAACACTTTTGATTTTGAACTATATTGGTGTTTTCTAAGAAAGTCTCTAATTAGTGATTAGATTATAAGATTGACCTGATGATATATGGCAGTATATCAAAAAACTTTCCTGGTGCTCTTTAATTCATTTATTGAAAATCATTTAAGATGCAGACTGTCAATTGACTAGAAGTCCAATGCAATGCATAGTGTTCAATTTTAGTTCTAGAATATACCTATGATATCATATAAAACTATAGGCTAAATTACTTATGCCCTTTTTTCTTTACAAATTACTTATGATATGTTAAATTTCAGAAGAATAGTTTTCGAACAAATTCTGATTGGAGATTAAATAAAAAAATAATTTCCCTTCCCTTATTTTTTCGTAATGCATGAGAAAGTACTAAGATTCCATTAGATGTGATTTTGTTCCGAGATAAAATCACTTCCGAACATTGTCTCTTGATGATGATCTCACTGACTACGATATCCATGTCTGAATCAGTTAAATTCATTGATTTTAAATCCACTTTGGAGTGACGCCGAAACAAGTAGGCGAAATGTTCTTCAAGACGAGGTTTGGGTAGTGCAACAGGAAGCGTTTTTTTACATAATGAAACTGTTGAAATAGCTTCGTATTGAATATGACATGGTGAAACAACTGATGAAAATGTTGTTGACGATGAAACTGCTTTGTAAAAGTCATAGAATGGTTGAACTTCTTTCAATTCAATAATATGCAGACCTTTCTCTTTGTGGACAGAATTTACTACATCGAATTGACAGGCAGGAAGAAGCAATACTTCACCATCATACATGGAATACCGGTGTATATCTTTACCAGAATAACAATTGATGACGAACAAAGTTCTTTGACCAATTTTATTAAGAAAAAGACTTTTTTCCAATCGATTACTTTTCTTCATACACGAAGAAAGTCCCCACCAAACTATTGTTGTACCAGTACGATATTTGGAAGTTAAATCTATATTGATACCTCGATAGACAATCTGAGAAGTTGAAGGAAGATGAACAAGAGCGGTCAAAATAAGCCGTAGAAAAAGAAGCCAAGGTTTCAATTGTTGTCTGTTTTCAGAACGCAGAGCTTTGGTAAGAATATGACATAAAGATTTTTCTCTTGATTGCCATTCCAATGAATACAATCTAATCGAATTAGACTCATCTATAGTTAAACCATCTTCTGGTTCATTTCTATTAGCTATAACTGTTTGAACCATATGTTTGATATTGGGTATGATGGTTTGTAGTGGAACAACAGCTTCGTTGAAAGAGACAAGCGGTATAGTTTCAAAGTCTTGAATAGGTGGAAACATGCCTTCTGGTTCTTCATCCACATCCAAGAATCGAAGAGCATGTTGTTGTTCATTTATATCTCTAGAAGTCATCTGAACAAGTTGAAATCTGAAACGAATAAAAATTTCCATCTATCCAACATGAAGATGATCCTCATTTCACGTCGCATATTTCAAAATTTATGAACGAAATCAAAGAATAAAAATTCTATGAGTGAAAATGTTTTTTTTTACTATTAAAAGAGTATATTTTACTCTATTAATCATTAATAAAAGTTTCCTGCATACATGCTCAACACAGTTTTATTTAAGAAAGAAGATTATGTTAAGCTAGAAAGATCGAATGCAGTTTTTTTTCTACATCAACAAAGATAAAAATTTTATAAGAAGGTATTACTCCTTGTTATCAGCAACATAGAAACATGCCAACAAATACTTTTATGTGTGTCACCTCTACACACTTTCAGTTTAAAAGTAAATGACAAACATACTGTTCGTCGTTTGATCTCAAGAAAAAGAAGTGTTAGTTTATCGTACATTTGAGTATTTAAAATTGAGAAAAGATAAAATCTTAGAAATCGCGTCAGAACACTTTCTTTCACGACATACTTTTTATCAACAACCGTCGAGATGCAGTGGTTGGAGAAGAAATATGGTACCTTCTAGTAACGAATTTTTTACTAAGCTGCTTGTTGAGTTGTGCAGTGGTCAATCATGCTTGAATTCATTTTTTTCTCATTGAAATGAATTTTTACCATACACGAAAAAAACCACGAGTATCAAGAAAATAGATATCTCCACAAATGAATTGTCTCTTACTGAACTTACAGGATACTCATTAAAGACAGAACAAAAAGAAAATTAGAGAAAAAAAGAATTTAAATAAACCAGTAGCCTAAATTAGGATTCAAACACAAGCTCATATCGTCACATAAATTGACTACAACTCGTTTTATCAGAGACTAATACAAAAAAGAAAAGGTACCCTTTCACCACTCACATACTGCAGAATCAGACAAAAACAAACGGTCTCTATACCGATCAATAATTTTTTTTGACTTCATAACGTAGATAAAGAATTGTTTGCTGCAACAGAAAGAGTAGACAGAACGTATTTTATGTCACTTTTACTCTAACACATCAAGAGCGTCAAAGAGACACGATTTCTCTTTAATTACATATTCTTGATTTCACGTGTTATCTCATGGACAAAAAAAAATTAGAGAAATGACTTCAAATATGTCTAAACAAACTGATGAAAATCTTGAATCATTGTCATTGATTTGGTTCGATATAAGGGTTAACAAGTCTAGAGAAGCATTGATGAGCAAAATCAACTTCGTTCAATAGTAAATTATTTAAAGACATTCTAAAATCCATTTGACTACGAGAAGCACATTCGATCATTGTCTGACGGTAAAAGTGTGTGGTTGATCGTGAGTGGAAGATTAGACCGAGATATAATAACTCGCAATCATAAGCTTTGGCAAATTCATTCGATTTATGTCTTCTATTTTGCAAAAAAAACAATGAAGAATGGGCTCAACATTTTATCCAAGGTTATTCTTTGATAATTCGCCATGCTTAATATTTGATTTGCTAAAGCTGAGTAATTATGTGAAGTATGGTGTGGGAGACTACTGTTTACAATGTATAAAATCGTTCTTCTAATTTGAAAAATAAAGGAATAGACGATAAATGAGTACATGTACGAAAGAAGGTTACACAGTATGACTTATGAAAAGAAAAAAATTGGATCCATTTATAGAAGCCTTTAATAACTGCTAGAGTGAAGTGAATTGGTTTTGGATGTGGATCTGGGATTGAAGAGAAGACTCACACCCACACCCAGAGCTTCTAAAACATGAATACTTTGATATAATCGGTGTGTCAGTGCCACTAAGTGTATCAGTGCTTCAGTGAGCAGTGACACCGAAATCATCTGTGTGCCAGTGAATCTCGGTGTCAGTATTTCAGTGTTTACACCAACATTGCACATGTTTACTTCTACATAGCTCCAGTTGTAAACTAAATTTTATTTTAATCTCAAAAGTTCAAGCAAGAGTAGTTCTGTGTCACGCTAGACCTTTCATTGTTGATTTTTCTAGTGAGAATAAAGGGATTTAGTATTGTGCAATAACATATTTTTGTTTATTTTAACGCTTTGTACAAAACTGATCATAAAAGATGAGCGGAAACAAATTTCACGATCTTGTTTGACCAAAAAACTACGTACAGATATCGAATTTAACTCCCCTCTCTCCCCTAGCTCTGTAATTCTTACGGCGACGAGTTTATAACGATCTTCCAGAATGGCACAACCGGACTATACATAAACCAAAGGCTTATTTCAGTTTATCATATTGAGCTGAAACTTTTACGAGAAACGTCTATCACTTGATTCACTAATTTGTGGTAATGCCAATCGAAATGGACCATTACGAGTAGAAAATCTACGATGAAAGATAGAGATCTTATGCGTAAGAGAATTTTAAAAGAGAAAATGAACTAAATGTAGTAATATGAACGTTGTTAGATTTTTGAATGTCATGTATTTTGAACGTCTTTTTGTGTCATGACTATATTCTGCTAATGAAAATCGAACGTATGTAACAAACAAAAACTTTGCAATAGATTCAATTTTTCTTTATTGTTTATGAAAACGTATGTTTGGTTGTTGTTATATTCATTTGTGTTTTTGATACATTCATTTAAAAAAAAACGAAAATTTGTCAGTGCGGCTTTATGAGAGACAAAGTGTGAAACTCACAAACTCTAACTGTTGTAAATTTATGGTAAAGGGTGAGCCAAAAGTCTTGGTCGCTCATAGAAAAATTGCTCGCTCTCTCTTATTACAAATCCAAAAATGCTCAAAATTGGACCTGTAACCCCTTGTAACTAGACGAATATTACCCTAAATTTTCAAATCTCTAGATTTTATTATAGGGGAGATAATAGTTTCATATGATAGAGAAGATTTTTTTCCATGTCCTAAAACCATAATAGTGAGAATTTACGGTGGACTCAATTCAAAATTTCAGTCAATTGTTTTTTTCTCGTTTTTTATATATGCTTCGATAGAGTACAGGCAGCTGATTACGATAAATTGATTTTTAGTTTCTGAAAAAGCTTTTTCGGTGGGAAAAAGTTTAAAACTTCGAAATGAACCATTTTTTCGTAAAACACATCATTTTTCAAAATATGCGGTATTTTCTGTATCACTCCTTTTTTGCAGCCTAGTGAAAAATTTCTTTTAAAATGCATGATGATTTTTTCAAAACCTAAACATCAATTTATTGTAATCAGCTGCTTGTGCTCTATCGAAGCATATATAAAAAACGAGAAAAAAACAATTGACTGAAATTTTGAATTACGTCCACCGTAAATTCTCACTATTATGGTTTTAGGACATGGAAAAAAATCTTCTCTATCATATGAAGCTATTATCTCCCCTATAATAAGAGCTAGAGATCTGAAAATTTAGGGTAATATTTGTCTAGTTACAAGGGGTTACAGGTCCAAATTTGAGCATTTTTGGATTTGTAATAAGAGAGAGCGAGCAATTTTTCTATAAGTGACCAAGACTTTTGGCTCACCCTTTATATCTGATTTTTAGATTGATTGTAGAACTAAAGTACTCTCGCAAAAAACTCTCCAGATAAGATTTGTTACAATTGAGTGAATTCTCGCATGAGATTAGAAAAATAGCCGTTATAAAACCATATTGAAAATTTATCGTGATCGGCTAGGATCAGGCTCCAGTCACGATCACGACTTTTTTAAAGAAATTGGTCACGATCATGAGTCATGGCAGTCACAATGGTCACGCCGATGTCTAGTGGATGTGGGTGCAGATGTATGGGAGTCTCTCTAATCATACCCACACCCACACCATCATGAAACGATGCAGTCGGGAAAACTGGCAAATATGAAAATCCGATTCTTTCGCACGTTCATAAAAACCTTTACCGAATTTGACAGATTTAGAATTAGCACAAATAGATTGCATCAATGAAAGATCAAGAAATCTTCCACTGATGAACCAAGTTGAAATTATCAAGGGACTTTTGCTCTGGATTACAAATTTTTATTCAGATGAACATAGATTTTAGAAGTTTTTTTCTGTTTTATATCCTGTAAGTCAGTCCGATGCTTATCAAAGATAAAATGTTAATAATTGATTTCTGTTGGTATTTTTTTTTAAAACCAAATCTTCAAATTGTTTTCCGTGAAATCTGCACGAATCAATTTGTTTGACATTGCGTCACCAAAAATTGTATTTCGCTTAAGCCATTCGACTGGATCACGTTGCATCGATAAGGACTCAACGTCTAGTTCAGTTTTCAAAGCATATTCGCCCGCATCGTCAAAAAAATTAAAATCATCACCCCTTTCCATTTCAATATATTGCAAGTTTTTTATATGAGTCAGACAGAGATTGACTGTTTCAGCGATATTAGAAAAGCAAGGCATTCTCAATGTTACTGAATTTAGTGATGGTAGTAAAAGTGCAAGTTTTGAAAACAAAGGCTCATCAATATCGTCGAAGGTACCTAAACTAAATTTCTTAATATGGTTGACCGATGAATTGAGTAATTGTAAGAAATGAAGTGTATAATCGATGTAGTTCTCATCGCTATAGTAGCTAAATTCAATCGATTGAAGATTTGGAGTACGTTGAAGAATTTGCTCTATCAATACAACCAAGCATTCATTCTCCTTGTCTGAAAATGCTCCAGATACATACAGCGAGCGTATGTATGGGAAGGTACAGTTCGATAATAGTAATGGTTCTAATGATGCGGACGAAGTTATATCCATGTTGATGAAGAAATCCTCGGTTACATCTAATTGTCTGACATGCTTGAGTTTGGCTTGTAGCTCAGATCCATTTAACTTCAGAAAATCTGCATAATGAAGCTCCAAAATTCTCTAAAATGAAAATGAAGAAAACGATTTGACAATCTCCTTATTTTCTTCTGTACATCGAAACGTAGTCTGGTTCAATAGTAATCAAGTGAGAACTGATCTGGTTTTCTGTCTATGAGTGCACCAAATCCAAATCCAATTCCTGGATTTGACTGGATCTGACT